CCCTGGAACCTCAACAGTGGTCTGAAGTACTTTGGAGGAATGAAGCAACTTCACCATCACCTGTAACCTTGGGGAACATGTACCAGCCCAGAGGCAGTGACCCACTAGACCCACGCTACACCTGTGGAACCACCAAACGCCCAGACTCGCTCATGATTTGGGGGTGTTTCAGTGCTCAGAGTGTTAATGAACTCATTGTGCTTCCCAAAAACCATTATATGAACCAATATAATTACCTGGAGTTATTGTGTGACAATTTACCCGAGGTGTTTGACAAGTGTGGGGATACGGCTTTCATGCAGGATGGTGCACAGTGCCAAAACGCCAAATCAGTAGTTCAATGGCTTAAGAACTGTGAAGTGTGGTTCTTTAATGACTGACCAGACAATTCTCCAGACCTAAACCCTATTGAGAACCTCTGGTCAATAGTGAAACAAAGTTCTCTGGGCAAGGATATCAGTTCCATCCCGCAGCTGGAGGAGGCTGCTCTACATGAGGCATGGAATAACATACCTCTCCAAACTTTCAAGAATTTGTGTGGGAGTCTTCCTACACGGCTGTGGGTCGTGATTAAGCATAAAAGACGCAGCACCAAGGATTAAAACCTCAGTAATTGTGCATATATATATATATATATATATATATATATATATATATATATATATATATTATATATATATATATATATATAAATATATATATATATATATATATTATATATATATATATATATATATATTATATATATATATAATATATATATGTCGTGCCGAATATGTAAAACTGGTCAATTAGCAAGAACTCATTTAAAATTAAATCCTTTCTAAAATTTTCTCTTATACGTTTAAGGATATATTTTTTTCATTGATGTTAATGTAAAAAATTTTAATTTTCCACCAAAAGGAACTTAGAAAACTTACCTAACCTTATTATAACAAGCGCAATTTATTATAACCTAACCCAACTAAATATATTTTAGATTTGTTTAGATTAATTTAATACTAAATAAACACAGTGAAATATATTTTTTTCGTTAGGTTCAAAATGATTTTTGCGAAATTATTGCATACACAAATTTTCACTTGTCCTCTACGGCAAGATGAGAGTTGCTATTTAAGCCAAGATCGCAAGTTCTGCCTATTCGGCACGACATATATATATTATATATTATATATATATATATATATTTATTATATATATATATATATTATATATATATATATTTATATATATATTATAATCTTTCATTGTATGTGTTTGTTTTGGTACGTGTGTGGGGGAGGGGCGGCACAATACCATGACTAACACTGTACATCTGAATCGATTATCCTACCTATCTTCGTGTCATCAGCGAATTTGCTAATATCACTAGTAATTTCCTCGTCAAGGTAATTAATATATATTATACACATCAATGGGCCTAAAATTGATCCCTCTGGTTCCTATTGGTGAGCCATGACTCGATCCATGACAGAACTTTTCCCCCAATGCCATGAGTTGCCACTTTCTTTAAGTCTCTGGTGCGGTGCTCTATCAAAAGCCTTACTATAATCCAAATAAACAATATCGAACTTTTTATACTGATCAACGGCCTCAAAAGCTTACTGAAGAAAGTTAATAAATTAGTTAGGCAAGAATAGTCCCTCTTGAATCCATGCTGAGTATTATTAATCAAGCTGTGCTTATCAAGACGGCTTCTTATATTATTAGTTATAATTGACTCTAGTAATTTGCCTAAAAATGAGGTGAAAGATCTTTCTAAAACAGAGGCTGGGATTCCGTGCCTAAAATGTTTTACATCATATATCTAAAAACTTAATAGGTTAGGTTAGGTAAGGTTCGTCAGGAAACAGGACAAATGTTTCCTGACGCGGGTCTTAGTCAGATGATGACCCGCCTTTGGAGCGCTTTTGGTCTCTGACCGGGCCCTTTCCCGTGGCTTACGGTCCACCCCTTTAAAAATTTTGGGGGGTCATTTATAACCAGTCAAAAAAAAAATTAAATGAAAGGGGGGGAAAATTTTTTACGGGAGTCGTAAAACCCTTAAAAACAGTTGGAGTCTCCACATCTCTCCATGCAAAAAAGAATTTATAGGTATAATGTAGATACAGGGATTTTGCAGAAATTTAACACTGAAATGGAAGACAAAAAATGAATATTAATAGCGTTTTAAAAAATTTGAGGGTCAAGTACTGTGGTTATTAGATTTAAGAGCATGAAGGACAGAATGATTGCGATTCTGAGACAATACTTCTTCCTCCCCCCCAGGTGCAGCCACAAGACTCGGCTACACCCGGGACCTAATTTCTTTTATGCGAACAAGGGATAGGGGTAAGGAATCATGCGCCCAACGTTAGCCTGGCACTGGAGTAAACTCTTACACGGTCGATTTTGGGGTTTTGGAGGCAGAACCCCGGAGTTTATTCGTTACAGCAATACGGCTTATCTGCCCTTTCCCCTTAACCAGTCCAGACGGGGCAAAGGAGAGAGTGCTTTCCCGGGGTCCAAATTGCTCATCCAACGTGGGGTTGGCAGACGTTTCCCGTATGTTGAGTTGCCCTTTCCTTGTTGCAAACTGGAAAAAAAGGAGGTTATGAGGGCTCTTTTCAAAACCCATTGCTTCCCCTTTTTCTAATATAAAAATAATATTTTAAAATAATAAAATAATATAATAATAATAATATTTAAAATAAAATTATTATTATTATTTTTATTATTATTTTATTTTTTATTATTTTATTTTGAATAATAATAATAATAAATTTTTATTATTTTATTTTTTTTATTTTATTATTATTATTATTATTATTATTATTATTATCACGGGAAGGGTAAAACCCCTGGGTGCAAGTGATAATTTTGACATTTTTGATAACTGTGAGTGATAATTGATTTTCTTTTTTTAAAATCTACACAGAGTGTGATCGAATGCTGGGGGCGTGTAGTTTTAATTTTCTCTTCTCTTTTCTCTCCTCTCTCTCTCCTTTTCTCTCTCTCTTCTCTCTCTCTCTCTTCTCTCTCTCTCTCTCTTCTCCTTTTCTCTTCTTAAGACCTCTTATCTCAATGCAAAAGCGTTTTTTCCAATGAAGGCCCCCCGGTTTAATGTATTTGTATTTTATACAACCTGAATGTTATTAAAGAACAGAACAACTTTTTTTGTTTTCGAATCTAAGAACACCCCTTTAAAACCCGGAGGAAAAAGGCTAAAAAATCTAAAAATATCTGCAGCAACGAATTTATTTACGTGTTTTGTGTTGGTATCTTTAACAAGCCGAGGGAGAGAAAGGGGGAAAAAGGTACCTCATAACCTGGGTTTTTCTAGACTCTCACTTATTTCCTAGCACAAAACACAAGATGTTCACTTCGAAATAGTTTACAGTCCCCCTCCCAAGAAAAATTTCTCGGTCACCGCTTCTAGTATTTTCATTTAGTAGGGTCATGAAAGAGTGTAATATAAAGCAATGTTTCTCAGCCGAAACATAATGCAGTCTTTCCTTATTAATACTGGATGTAGCATTAGCCATTCCTAATATAATTCAGTCTTTTTCAGTCACCACATGAACCAGTCTTCCAAATATTGGTTAGGTGTCGAATGAAGACAGTTTTCCTGTTACTTCTTGAAACCTTCTACCATCTTTCAGTTATTAACACAAACAGTATTCTCTATTCATTTCTCAACACTCGTACATTATGATTAGCATATACCAGGTCGGTATTAACCCTTTGCTAGGCAGGTAGTATTCTCACTCAGCCTTCCCACTCATGTATTTGATCACCCAACCTTAAAATTATTCAGTGTTTAGTTATATTGTTCTATTGATCTAGTGGCAAACCAGTATTTTCCCATATTCTTCCCAGCAGAGTTCTCACACTTCGACTCACCTCTCCAGCTTACACACGACCTTGGGTACTAATTGTTCCCAGTCAAGACTGTGGCACTGGGGCAGCAAAAGCCCCAAGCCTGCTACCAACACCAACAAGCTGACTAGACCACACCGAGGTCGCTGCCTCATCCTCCACCGGAGCAGCTTTGTCCTGAGACAGCTAGGTGAGTTGTTCTTGCTCGGACCTCTGACCAACTGGGTGCCTCACACGGGGTTGGGTCATTATATTACCTTGTGTTGGGGTGCCAAGGCATCTTTACCTCCTAGAGTCGGATTTCCCTCCTTCATTATTTATGAGACGACTTTCAAAAGCTGGCCGAGTTTGGGACGTCAGGGAACACATAAGCTTTAAATGACTGGGATGGCAGAGAGATACACCGGTGAAGCTGTCATTCTCCAATCCCTTCTCTTTCCCATTCTCCAACTTATTCTCCCCTGACGAGTCATGTCTGACATTTAGTCATTTCGTTTCCGAATTAAACTCGACCAGCGCGTTGCCAGACGTGTTAGGCAATTATTTTTCTTAATTTCCATATTTGTGGTCAGTCTAACCTATCCAAATAAAGAAACTGACGCTGGAAAAAACATATGCAAACTCTTCGTAATAATATTGAAGAAATCTGTTCAATGAGATGAACAGTAACTCCGTGAGTATCGTAGAGTGTGAAAAGTAGACAAATAAACTAAAAGATAGATTGATTGACAAACACAAAAATATATTTAATGAATATAGATAGATCACATAGAAGCAAAAAAAATATACATTTGAAATAGATGTTCAGAGAGAAACAGACAGCACGAATAATGATTACAATAATATAAAAAAAAATATTAATATTAAAATGTGCAACGGAGTAGTTAAATAAGTATAAGGACTTATTAGGAAACGTTTCTGTCACCTGGTGAGCGAAATGTTTCCTCAACAAAGTTACGTAACGGTGCACATGTGTCTCTAGTTCATGTGTCGTTATTTTGTACCTTCTTTAACACAGTTAAATAAGTTATATACAAACGTATAATCTTTGCAAACTGATGTAATATGCAAATATATAATCTTTGCAAAATAATAGGTACAGTCATACCTGCCTTGCAAAATACTTACACGTCATTGTAAAACGAAACAAAATACAACCTGACACAGGTCTTATACATGTGAGGACTCGCTCAGTTGGTAAGCATTCTACTAGCGCACACCAGCTGGGGATCAAACCATCACGCAATAAGATGTGCTCATAGTTTCATAGATTCGTTGCTTCTCTTCGGAAACTTTGTGTTTGTCTTCAGCTTTCATATTCATAGACTCATTGTCACCAGCGCCTCACTCAGTGACTCGCTGCTTCTCTCATTCGCAACACAAAAGGGGAAACATTCGATATCGCCAATGAATGAATGATATTTGATGTGTTTCTTTTTTTTTTTACTCATTCTAACTCGATGGGAGACGCTCAGTGTGAAGGCCAGTCACACTGACCTTCATACATATATACACACACACATACTTTACTTAATCAACAATAATACTGCGACTAGCTGAGGAATCGAACCCTAGTTGTTTTAGCTCGCCTCATGGTGAGCGAAAATTCACGATGCTCTAACCCACTAGACTATACAATCATACAAAGATCATGCACCCAGCAGAGCTAGGTGTTGTACCGTGATCCGAGGGCATACGATGATGTGGGTGTCTAAGAGCTAATTTCATTCTACTCCCCGTTTGGTGTACTAGCCTCCAGAAGCAGTATATATAGTATTGCAACCACGAACAAGTGGTATTTAATCAATAACAACACTGCGACTAGCCGGGGGATCAAACCCGTGCTGCTTTAGCCTGACTCTTCCTCGATTGTATTGTGTCCAACATCAATTGATGTACCCCACCTCTCCGTCTTTCTAGAGTCCCTTCTGTCTCCTCTGTGAATACTTCTTTGAATCTCGTGTTGAGCTCCTCACATACTTCATGGTCGTTTCTTGTAATCACCCCTCCTTCTTTCCTCAGCCTGATTACCTGGTCCTCGACTGTTGTTTTCCTCCTGATGTGGCTGTACAACAGATTCGGGTCACATTTGGCTTTCGCTACTGTCATTTTCGTATTGTCGTTGGGCCTCCTTTCTTACCTGTGCATAATCATTTCTGGCTCTATGACTGCTCTCCATATGGTGGAGGGAAAGAGTGTTAAGGCTACACAATTGTGACTGGACAGAGGTAACAAGTTGCACGGACGTAAATGATGCTTGGGAAAAATTCAAAACAATGTTCACTACCATCCTTGATAATATTGTACCAGTTAAAGAGGTTAGGATTAAACGAAGAACTGAACCCTGGATGACTACTGAGATATTAGATAATATGAAATTCAGAGACCAGCTGCTAAAAAGATTTAAAGCAAACAGACAGAATATTGCATCACTAAATGAATTCCAAAGGGTGAGGAACAGAGTACAGAGACTTATAAAAGGAGCAAAGGCAAAGCACTATTGCTCAAAAATTGAAGAGTATAAGCATAACCCCAGAAAGCTCTGACAACAACTAAAACAGTTAGGGTATAGCCATAAGCCAGTAGATAGGTCTAACATACTACTCACTATAGATAACGAGCTATGCTACGAAACATCTAAGGTGGCAAATTGCTTTAATTCCTTCTACACATCTGTTGCATCAACACTAGCAAGTAAACTACCAGCTGCATCAAATACCTTTAACACAGACTCTGATAAGTTTCAAACATACTATACCAATAAAGGGGTAACCCCAAACAGTTGTCAACTAGTAAGTGTATCTCATGACTTTATTCAAAAAGAACTAAGCAGGTTAAACGCAACTAAGAGCACTGTCCCTGATAACATCCCGTCTAAGTTCCTAAAAGATGGCGCTACTGAACTGTCAATCCCTATTACTCACATAATAAATCTATCAATCACCACTAATACCGTACCGGATGGGTTCAAGGAGGCCAGAGTTACTCCTATCTTCAAGAAAAATAGTAGGTCTGATGTAAGCAACTATAGGCCTGTTAGTATACTCAGTATAATATCCAAAATTCTAGAGAGGGCCGTGTACTCTCAAGTAGTTAAGTACCTTAATGACAACAACATTCTCCATAGCTATCAATCGGGCTTTAGAAGATCTTACTCAACCGGCACCTCCCTAATTAATCTGATGGATTACCTGAGAACTGGAATGTCAAAGGGGAACCTCATAGTTAGGTAACCTTAGACCTCCCAAAGGCCTTCGATACTGTCAACCAAAACATATTATGAAAGAAACTTAAAGCTATGGGTTTATAGGTTCTGTAGATGGTTTAAGTCCTACCTTAGCAACAGGAGACAAATTGTCAAAATCAAACAAACGGAATCAAACCCCTGCCGATAGCATGTGGAGTTCCCCAAGGTAGCATTCGGGGCCCCTTATTATTCTTATGTTATGTCAATAAACATGCCTATCAGTGTCAAGTGCAAACTCCTACTGTATGCAGATGACAGTGCTTGTTAGTGTCGGGTAAAGACCCCCAAGATATAGCTAATTTTTTTAACACTGGAACTGGAGTCCTGCAGCAAATGGTTAGTAGACAACGAACTATCTTACCCCTCGGGAAAACTGAAGCCATTCTCTTTGGCACGAAAGATAAACTGAGAAGGGTAAATAATTTTAATGTCCAGTGTAATGGGGAGCCCATCACTTTGGTTTCATCAGTACAATATCTGGGAATCCCCTTTGACCCATGCATGTCAGGAGAATTGATAGGGAACAGTGTAGTAAAGAAAGCGAATGCCAGACTGAAGTTCCTGTATAGACAAGCACAGTGTCTACCTACTGAGGCTCGCAGGACCCTATGTCTAGCCCTTATACAATGCCATATGGATTACGCTTGCTCTTCATGGTACTCTGCCTTGACAAAAAAACTGAAAGATAGACTGCAAATCACCCAGAACAAAATCGTAATAAAGTTGGTAGAATTACCGACAATATGTAAAGTAAAAGGACACAAGTGCAACTAATGTGACATTTTATTGTGCCAACGTTTCGCTCTCCAGGAGATTTATCAAGCCATTACAAACAATACATGGACACAGAGGGTATATAAAGGCTCAGAGTGAGGTGCAGTACTAGTGAGGTACCATTTAGATGTAAACTAGTGGTAGTAGTAGTAGTAGTAGTAGTAGTAGTAGTAGTAGTAGTAGTAGTAGTAGTAGTAGTAGTAGTAGTAGTAGTAGTAGTGACAAAAGTAATAGTAGTAATACAATATGGTAGAGCAATTAATTCGTACATGAGTAAAAGGATATAAAAGCTATTACTTGGGTAACATAAAAATAGGTTGGACAAATAAAGACTGGAAAGAGGCAGCCTGTTTCTAAATGGTACCTCACTAGTACTGCACCTCACTCTGAGCCTTTATATACCCTCTGTGTCCATGTATTGTTTGTAATGGCTTGATAAAGTTCCTGGAGAGCGAAACGTTGCCACATTAAAATGTCACATTAGTTGCACTTGTGTCCTTTTACTTTACAGAACAAAATCGTAAGATTCATCCTGGGGCTGGGACCAAGAGAACATGTAGGCCAGGATGAATTACAGCAGTTGGATATGCTGAATGTTGAAGACAGAGTAAAACAACTGAAGCTAAATCATGTTTATAAAATTGCTCACAAACAGTGTCCAGAATATTTTGCTGTCAATTTTGTCAAGGTTGGGAACCAAAGCAATCATAGTACTAGGGGCAGAGAGCACGACTTTGTAGTACCCACAGTCATTGGCCAGGCTTCAAACACCTTTTATTGTACAGCAATAAAAGAATGAAACAGACTTCCCGCACATGTCAAAGCCAGTCATAGCATGAACCAGTTCAAGAAGAGTGCCAAAAGGTGTCTGATGAATGTAGCTACAGAAAGGGAGGGGAATGATTTTCTATTTTTTAGCTAACATACGTGCAAATTTTACCTTATTCCCAGTAATGACCCTCGTATTGTAGATAGTCTTAATAACCCTCGTGTAGTAGATAGTCTTTTTAGTATGATAATAAGATGTTATCTTCATTATAGAATAATAAGAAAATATTATAACCTTTGTATTATAATAATAAGGTAAAAGGACCCCAATGAAAATAAGTCAATCTGTCTGACTTTTTTGGGTTA